CGGCCACTGCAGTCTCAACCTGCTGGGCTCAGGCGATCCTTCCGCCTCATACCACCACATCCAGCTAGTTTTTTGGTTTATTGTGGTGACGAGGTCTTGCCATGTTGCCCAGGCGGTTCTTGAACCCGTGGGCTCTGGCAATCCTCTTACCTCCACTTCCCAATGTGCTGAGATTACAGGCGTGAGCCACTGCACCCAGCCTAAAATCTATGTATTTCTGCTTTTTAACTTAAAAGTTTCTCTTACTGGAGAGAATAAGAGTAGTTCATATGTTCTGAATAGAAATTACCCTTCCTCCGAAATAAAGCAAGACTGTTACCTTATTCCTGGGATATATTATTATTGCAACATCAGATAATGTCAACGGTGAGCATCTTGCTGCATGATGACTAAGCTTTGCTGTGCACATGGTTTTCTTTCTTTTGATGTAAATATTGTAAGGTATTCTTTTTTCTTTTTCCCTTCAGATGGGATGATGATGTTGTCTTCAAGAACTGTGCAAAAGGGTTAGATGATCAGAAGAAAGACAAAAGATTTGTAAATGATACGCTGCGATCTGAATTTCACAAAAAATTCATGGAGAAATATATTAAGTAGTACAGTTTTATGTGCTTAATTAAAGACTGTAAAACATGAGGGCTCATTCTGGCTTTATTTGGATAATTTTTTTTTCTTTTCCCATCTAAATAAGCTTCCCTGGTTTTTAGTTCTAAAATATTTTTTTCTTTAGTGATACCTTGATTAATAATGAACTTGGGAGTAGATTTAACCTAATTTCCATTCTGTTTCCATTTATAAATTTTCTTTTTACTATAAGAAAAGGGAGTCTGCTTGTGATAAATATTTTTAATCTAAATAACCAATCTGTCCCCAACATTTTGCTGAAACTTATACATCTTATACAACGCTGCATAGTTTCTTTTGAAAAGAAAAGTTACCTCTATGTATTGTGTTTGTGCATTGACTTCTGCCCTAATTTCTCTCTCCTTCGCTTAAGGTCAGTTAGCTCATGGCTTTCTCAGTGCTTTCTGAAAGGGTGTGATCATGGAGGAGTGTCCTTAGGCACCCCCAAGAGCATCGGTGACCTCTACATTCTGCCGGCGAACACGTGCCCCGAGAGCATTAGCGGTCTCTCCCTTCTGCAGGGGCTGCTTTTCTCCCTGTGGCCGGAGAGGAGACCTCTGTGAGCATCCCTAGGAAGTGTGTGGCCCTCACCTGGGTTCTGGATACTCAGCTGCCCTGTTTCTCTTGAAAGAGATGGAGTTTGTACACTGACATATGTTACATGCAAAGCCTGTTTCAAAGCAAACGATACATAAAGTAGAACCTTTGTAAATGGGATTTGTTATCTTGGAGGGTATATCTGTGGGAAGTAGGAAGGAGTACCAGGCTCTACCTAAAGCAGTACTCCTGGGAGTTGGAATTAAGGGGGCCACATTCAGTAGAAAATTTGGGGCTGGAAGCTGGGCCTTCTGCGGATTTTTTAATCTAGATTAATAATAATATTTGTCAACATTTCCATTTCACTTGAGTTCCTGTGACTGAGTCCATGAGTCCAAGTGACACCCATGTGGGCCATACCCAGGGCCTGTGACTCTACTAGTAAATAATAATAGATTAAATATTATAGACCCATTCCTAAGATTCCTTGGCCTAAATGATACTGAGGCTGGTATGGTAAAGTTAAAGATAAAAATTTTTTTTAAGTTTTTTATTTTGAAGATGTGTGGAGTACAGTTCAGTGTTGGTGTACAAATGTTCATTGTGTAGGTACCCTTGATAAGGTGTGCCTCCCCCTCCCCCCCCCCCCGGCAGTTTCCAACTACTGCCAATCCCTTTCTTATAGCATTAGGTTAACTGTTCAAGGCCCGCCTAGGAGTGAGAACATGTGGTACTCAGTTTTTTGTTTCTGTGATCACTCAGTATTATAGACCCCAGGCTGCTGCGAAGTTTGTAATTTTGTCCTTTATGGGTATGTAATATTCCTTTGTGTATATGTACCGCATTATTTTTATCAGTCTTCTTTCTATGGGCAGCAAGTTCATTCCATGTTTTTGCTATTGTAAATAATGCTGCAATAAACATGCGTGTGCAGATAAAAGATAAAACTTTCAAGGCAAGATAATGTGATACTTACCACTCTCTATTTATTTGACTCCGTTTTTTTAAAGACCGTATGGATTGCTCCAGCATTTTCCCAGTGGAAGCTGAGACATGTGTTGCCTGAGTCAGGAGTAGACCTGGAGATGGAGCCCGTGCCGTGACTCGACATCTTTCCAAACTGAACAATTTCCATGACATTTTGAATACTTAGGAATAATAGCAAGACTGTATTTTTATATTCAGATTTGCAGTGGATCCAGTACCTTCGCATTCAGTTTTCGTTGCCTTCATAGTAGCATGTTAGGTAGGAAGGGCTGGGCTATCCAAGGTCAGGGAAACTAGCTTGGGCTGAGTGACTTGACCAAGGTTAATACACGATGGCTCAGGTGTGAGCACCTTAGATTCCATGATGCTTCAGGAGTGATTGGCACTACCACATTTTCTTTCTTTTTTTTTTTTTTTTTTGAGTTGGAGTCTCACTCTGTCGCGCAGACTGGAGTGCAGTGGCCGCTCCCGGCCACCGCAGCCTCGACCTGCTGGGCAATCCTTCCGCCTCAGCCTTCCAGGTAGCCGGGATTACAGGCATGCGCTACCACGCCTGGCTGATTTTTTGATTTCTTGTAAAGATGAGGTCTCGAACCCGCCGGCTCCCAAAGGCGCGGGATTACAGGCTGAGCCACCGATCCCGGCTGGCACTACCAGATTTTCAAAACTAGCTCTCGGAACTGCCCGTTTCTTTTAGCATCTCAAAGGTCTGATTCACCCAGGAGTCTAATTGCGGGCACCATTACTGCAAGATCTGCTGATTTCAGATTCCTGGTTTGAGTCTGAGAGGTTCAGGGAGAATCAGTAAAGCTAGTTTCTGGGCTTGCCTTCTCCCTTTCCTTCTGGTTTTCCCACGAGGTTCTCGTGGAACAACACTGTGTCACTTGATCACAGACGCAGGACGCAAGTGTGTGGTCAGCTGTGGATTCACAGCACAGGTAACAGCGTGCTCAGCGAAAATGTCCAGTGCTGTGGCTGAGGGGCCTGCCTTGCCCGCAAGGGCTGGTGCCGAGTGGAAGCAGCCGGGGCTTTGTGGCCAGGCGACCGGAGTGAGCCCGGCGCCGCCACTGCGGGCTTTTCTGGAGCGGCCTGCCACCCGGTGCCCGGCAACTGCGCCTGCGCTGGGCTGGTCTGCCTGACCCCATCACTGAGGTGGGCCCTGCCGAGGTTTGCAAGAGACGCTGTCCTGCCGTGCTGACTGCCCCTTGGGGACAGACAGCCAGCCCTCCCACTGCTCTCAGTCGTGAGGGAGCTGGTGAAGATGAGGTGATGGCCTGTGCAAGCCTCTGCAGGGACGTAGTGAGAGGGCTGACCGGAAGTCAAAAGCTTGCCCACCAGTCATCAAGCTGTGGCTCTGAATTAAGAGGTGCCCTTGCCCCTCACAGCTTGGGCTGGGCCCTAGGTACGATCCAGGCAGGAGTCACTTTATTGCAGGGATTGGACTCAGTCGCGGGAACTTGAGTGAGATGGAGGCTTATCCCAAGAGAGCTCGGGAGACCCCAGCTCTGCCCACTTTCCCGGCTGCCTTCTGTTTGCCCCACTTCTTCGCATGACTTGGTTTCTCTTTGCGAAGCTGGAGGTCACTCAAGCCTCACTCCTGTCTTCCTTGAGAGGGTCTTCACGGCCTTGTTGCTCTGCTGGCCGACAGAGCTTCTGACCTGAGACTTAGCTGGTCCCGGGCGGTGGCCCAGAACCTGGTGCCTAAAGCACACATGGGCAAGGGCAGAGTGATGTGGACAGGGCAGTCTAGTACAGACCTGGCCTGGGATGCTCAGCTAGACATGCGGTGGGCAGACCTGGAGGCGAACGATGTCACAGCTGTCACCCAAACTCCCTGGCCCCGTGCCGCATACCACAATGTCTCTGGAGATGGGGTGGCTGTCATGTTTGCCCTGTTGGAAGTCTCTGAGCCTCAGTTGCCTCATTTGTCCAGTGACGACAACACCTGCAAAAGCTGAGAAGACAATGTAAGTGCATGCCTCGTTCACAGAACTGTTGGAGGCTCTTGAAGGGTCATGGTCATTATTCCTGCTTCCTCCTCCCCCCAATGTCCCGTCGGCCAGGAAATAGAGGAAAAGTGTGGACCCAGGGTCTGAGCAGTTTGGTCAGTGACTCGGCCAGCTCAGTGCCATCACTCCAGCCCCTGCTCAGGAGGGCCTCCACAGCGTGTGATTCCCGCCATTACTACTTGAAATTGTTCGTAATCGTATCTTTGAATGTGTGTCATGCAAATAAAATCTTATGGGATGGTGGAGCATGCCCGGGCTTGGAGGCTGGGCTCACACGAGGTCCTGGTCCGGCCAGGTTCTCTGCGGGCCTGGGTGTAGGCTCAGGGAGCGGCGGGCTCCCCCCGGGTACAGGTGGGGAAGCTGGAACCCAGAGGCAGTGGCCTGGGAGTCCTGCCACGGCAGGCCCTGCGGGGTCGGTTTCCTGCTGGGTACTGGAAGCACAGGCCCCAGGGAGCAGGGCAGGCTCATCCTGCTGTCAGGGCACCTTAGAAATAGAACTGGACCACTCCTGGGGAGTGGGCGGAGCAAGCGAAAGGGGGCGGAGTCAGGTGCTTCAGAAGGGCGGGATGCGACCCGAGTCCTGCTCTGTGGGCTGAGGTTGGGTGTGGGCAAAGCAGCATCTGCCCAGAGTCGCCTGAGTCGATGCCAGGTGCCATCTGGTGCTGCTGCTGCTGTCGAGGTGTTGCAGGCATGTCCAAGTGCCCGTCCGAAGTTGCTGCCTCAGAGTCCTCCCTCCTCTGTATGCCTCTGTTCTCCTTTTTCTCCAGAAACTTTCAGGAGCAAAAGCTTTCATGGTTTGGATGGCCCTGTCCTCCCCTGGGCTAGCTCTCAGCGGCGTGGTGGCAAGTGGGAAGAGGAGGAGGCTGACCCGTGTGACTCACTCCTGAGAGAGGCGCCTGCCAGCTTCCTCTCCTGTGGAGCTTTTCATGTTACCATAATCTCAGGCTGCCTGCCTCCCTTTCGAGAAAGAGGCAGACAGATGGTTCCCAGCATCCTGAACTACCTGGAAGTGGCTTCCTGGTCTCCGCGTGCTGGCCACCACGGATGGGAAGGGCTGTAATATCGTTTGGACCTTTCCAGAGGAGAAGGCGCTAATGTCATCTTGACTCTTCCTCAGCACTCACCTCCATGGGAGTCTCGGAGGTTCCGTCCACAGGGTGTGTCCAGCCAGAAGGGGACCATCGCCTCCTTCCTCTGAAGAGCGCGGGGAAGAGCTGAGAGACAGAAGTGGCGGCACTCGCAGCATCCAGGCATCTTCCCTGTAGCAGCCAGCCCACAGACGCACAGGCCTGAGCAGCTTCGTCCTCCAGCCCGGCCTCTACCACCCCGCCAGCCCCAGAGAGATCAGCCATGCCACATTCCTGCTCATACCCTTCAATAAAAAGTCACCACTTAGGAGTACAGTGGAGAGGCAACCCATCATGATGGCTACAGAAAAGGCAAAATGCGCCATGTAAACAGCAGAAACATGTGGGCTGTCTGTGAA